TTCCTTATTCTTTTATACAGATGGTATTCAAATAACTGATAATATCCCTAATAAAGGATCAGAACAAGTTGTAACAATTACATATTATCCACAAGCAGTTTTTAGATGTAGACCAATTTCAAGAAGTACTCATACTATGACTGGACATAGTAATTCAATTTTATCATGTAAATTTTCACAAGATTCAAGTAAATTAGGTTCATGTAGTGGAGATCATACAGTTAGAGTATGGGATTTAAATACATGTACTCCAATTTGTACATTAAAAGGACATGGAGATTGGGTATTAAATTTAGATTGGCATTATGGAAATAAATTAATTGCAAGTGGTGATAAACTTGGAAAAGTAATTGTTTGGGAATTAAATGAAAATGGAACAAATGGAAAACAACTATGGTCATATTGTCATAAAAATTTTATCAGTGATATTCAATGGAAACCTGAAGTATTTGGTGATTCTGCTATTTTTGCATCTTCATCACGTGATATGTCAAGTAAAATTTATGATGCTAGAAGAGGTGAAGTTATTCGAACACTTGGAGGACATACTCAAGGAGTAACTAGTATACGATGGAGTGGAAATGAAAATATATTATATACATCATCAAGAGATAGATTGATTAATATCTATGATATGAGACAAGCAAATCCAATTCATGTATTAAAAGGTCATTCTCATTGGATTAATAGTATTAGTACTTCTACTGAATATGTACTTAGACAAGGAGGTTATGATCCATTAGAAAAAGATAAAGGAATTGATGGTGCAAAAAAAAGATTAAATAAAATAATAGGATGTGGTGGTGGTGAACGATTAGTTTCTGCAAGTGATGATGGAACATTATATATGTGGATGCCATTACAATCACAAAAACCAATCCATAGACTTGTTGGACATTCAAGTCAAGTTATGTCTTGCAAATTCTCCCCTGATAGTAGAATTATAGCAAGTACTGGATGTGATAAAAATATGAGAATTTGGGATGGATTTACTGGATCTTGTTTACATACATATAGAGGACATGTCCAAACAATTTATGGCTGTGCATGGTCTCCAGATAGTAGAATGCTTGTAAGTGCAAGTAAAGATAGTACAGTCAAATTATGGAATGTTGTTCCAGGATGTCGTAAATTAATGACAAATCTACCAGGTCATTTGGATGAAGTCTTTTCTATTGATTGGTCACTTGATGGTAGTTCTGTAGCAACAGCATCTTATGATCATACTATTAAAATCTGGAGATATTAATAATTGATTGATTTTTGATTAGATTTTCATTTAAAAAACAAAAATTATCCTTTTTTAAAACCAAAACATAAATTATAAAATTGTACAAACAATTTAATTATACAGTCCTTAATTCTCTTGTCCAACAGCTTTTTTTGTAGCATGTGGATCAACAATACCTTGATTAGTTACTAGTTTCTTAATCATATCAATGATTAAAGCAAACCAATAAATATGAAGACCATACAATGATACTAATAAAACTAAAAACATACACCAAACCAAATAACCACAAGTAGCAGTTTCTGGAATGAAATTTTTAGCATTATAAGCAGCACTAATAACATATCTTGGGAAAACCCAAAGTCTAAAACGAGCATAAGCAATAACTAACATAGAAAAAGCAGGAATTACAACATAATCATTGGAAATATCATTTAAAGATTTTGCAGTATACATTATAGCATCAACAATATCATGAAGAACCATAACAAGAACACCAATTCTAGCACAATTATTTATATAACTTAAAACAACTAAAAAGACTGTAACAAGATGATGTAATAATGTTTCATAAAAATCATTTCTTGGTGGTAAATAAAGATGATACATTAAAGAATGAAGATGATAACCTAATTCAAAACAATAATATAATGCCATGTATTTTACTGGTTGTGAAAGAGGGAAGTCTTCCCATAAAGTGTTTAAATCAGATTTTCCAACACCAAATAAAGCAGAAGGCATCCAGTCTTCATGTCTAAATAAATAAATTCCAAGTGGAGTAATAATGAAATAATACATTGTTTTAAAGAGTGTTAATCCAAATCTTTCAACTCTAAATTTTCTAAATTCATCAGTCCATTCTGGTTTTCTTGGAATATATTTGTCACCTAATTTAATAAAAATATTACAAGCTAATACCTCTCTTAATAACGAAATAATGACTAAGAATGCAAGAGAAGGAATAAGATCAACAATACTTGGAACAGTATCACCAAAATCACTTCTTCGTGAAATAGAAGATGGAAGACAAATTAAAACAAATGGTATAATTAAAGCTATTTGAAGAATAAAAGATTTATCACAAGCTCCATTTAATTTAGGGATTTTAGAACTGAGCATTTAATTTAGTTATTTTGAATTATTATAAACCTTCTCAGATCTTACTTTTATAGTTATCAAAGGAGTTCTTAGAATGTCTGTTTGCCTCCTCGAGGATAAAAAAAAAATCCAATTCTATTCCACTATCAAGCATCTTTTTCACTTTTTTTCAAAAATAACATTTCATAATCGAACTTTTATGAAGAAAAAAATTCTCTAAATTTTTTTAATTTTCGGTTTAGTTAGAAGAGTTAATAATAAACAGAATTTTCATCTTGTAAAAAATAGAATAGTTCCTTTTGATTCAAGTTGTTAGATTTTTGTATTACTTATTTTTAGAAAAAATGTCTGTCAACGCTTTATTTTCTTGTTGACGTCATTGTCTGTGTTTCTCATGACAGACAAGTTTATTTCCGATTAAAACCTCTTCTCTTCTTCTTTCTTTAAAATTGATAAAAATAGCCTTTTAGTATATCAAGTATAAAACAAACAAAACTTTTGTTATTTTAATAGAATTATTTTAAATTTATTCTTGCTTTTCATGGAAATCTGAGGAAGAGTTATCAGCCTTCAAGGTCATTGGTTCATCGTCTTCCCATTGTAAGGAATCCATTCTGTTTTTGTCAACTGGATAAATCCAGCGTTGGTACAAATAAATCAAGAAAATAACATCATCTCTGAAACAAGCGATTCTGTGAAGAGTTGGCATTTTGATGACAAAAGCAAATAAATCGTCAACGATTGTATTCAAAAACTTATAAACAAATACTCTCCAAGGTAAATTTGCAACTGATTTAAGTTTGTAATTGATAAACAGTTGAGGAGTCATTTGTAAAAAGCCAAAAGTGTAAACCAGTCCTACTAATAATGAGAGAATATAAGAATACCAAGATTTAAATTCATTGTTATAAAGTGAATAAATGGCATAACCAATACAAAGAGGGATACAAGCAATTCCAAGATATTTTAATGCGATGTCATCATAAAGTTTTGTTTTAGAATTTTGATAAGAGAGGTCTTTGTATTGAATGAACGAACCTTTTTCTTTAAAGTTAAAAGTAAAAACTCTTGTTAATTTCCATAAAGTAATAAGAAGTCCAACACCATTTGATAATAAAATGAGGAGACTAGTGTCATTATCAATGAGATAAAGCAATACAATAATTTCAATAGCAAGACTAACAAAGATTGATTTAATTGATAATCCTACAAAATGATCTCGTTTTGACCAAAATTGAATATCATTTTTATAAGCAAGAAAATCAAAAATAGTATGAAGTGTTGATACTGTTGTTGTTATAATTAAAAGTATAATATTAGTTTCCATAAAGATTCTTTTAAATTCATCAATTTGGTCTTGTGCCATTGTTCCCATATGTTCATGCATAGAAAAAGAATGACCAAGTGAATGCATCATAATCATTTTAAAGTATGATATAGAAGTAATTTTTAATGATATATTTAAATTTTGAATGGTATCATTAATTGGTGTATAATAATCTTTAATTAACCAAAAAGTATTGTGAAAAATAATAGGAGCAATCCGTTTTTTTATTCCATTATAATGAATAATACCACATTCTGGTGGAATATTATGAGGATCAACAACTTGGTTCATAAATGAAATTTCAAAATAAGGAATACAACCAAGAGTAAAATTTAAATCATTAGTACTTGTTGTTATATTATTTTCATTCATTAAATTATGAGTTTGTGGTATTGGTTTAAATGTTCTAAGAATTGGACTTTTAAATATTAAAGGTTGATTATTATATTTTGTAAGTGGTTTAACTATAACTTTCATAATAATGCTTTGATTTGATTTGATATACGAAAGATAATTTGATGGTATTGAAATAGGTTCTGAAATAGAATCAATATTTTTATATTCAATATCTTTTGAAAGAAGATGATGTTCTTGTGATTGATGTATTAATGAAACATTAAAATAAATATGTTCGTTATCCAAATATGCAGATTGATATCCATTTGTTGGTGGATAAATAATTGAATATATTCCATAACATGAATATGCAATAAAAACAACAATTAAACAAGCTGCTAATGGATGTTTTTGAATAAAACTTAATTGATTTTGATTATTTATTTCATTTGAAGGAGAAGGTTGTTCAACCATCAAAATTTATTTTATAAAAAAGAAGAAAAAGTTCTTTTTAAGTAAAAAAAAAAAAATTCATCAGAAATGATGATAAAAACAAAAAAAAATTATGAAATTAAGCAACAACTTTATCATGTAATGCAAGACAAACAACTCCTTTTTCATGAACTGCATATGTCTGAATTGGTTCTCCACTTTTTAAATCCCAAAGTTTTGCGGTTGTATCAGTTGAAGCTGAAATGAGATATTCACTATTATTACTAAAAGTAATATCCCATACCCATCCATTATGACCATTTAAAGTTTGAACTAATGAATAATTTTGTTTTACTTTCCATATTTTAATTGTTCTATCAGCTGATGCTGTTGCTAAATTTAATGTATTTGGAGAATATTTACAACAAGTTCCAAAAGTAGAATGAGCTTCAAAAGAAGTAATTAAAGATAAAGTACCAATTGTACTTTCTTGAGTTAAATTAGTTGAATAAATGAAACATTTACCATGAGTTAATAATACTGCAATATTTAATCCATCAGCAGTAATATCAACAGATTGAATTGACTGATTTAATTCAGGGATTATTTCTTGACTAATAACATTATTTCTTGTATCCCAAACACATAATCTACCATCTTGTAAACCAACAATTATTTCAGATTGATTAGGATGTAATGCAATACAATTACAAGGAGAACCAAATGATATATCTCTAAATGTTGAACAAGTTCTTGGTTCCCATGTTTTTGCTGTTCCATCTTCAGAACAAGTATAAATATATTGACCTTCTCTTGAAATTCCAATTCCACATACATTTGCTTTATGTCCTTCATAAGATTTTACAGGAGCAACCATTTTAGAATTTAAATCCCAAATTTTAACTTGAGGATTACTTGCAACAGCAAGATATGATCTATCAGGACTAATAACCATTTTATTCATTGTTTGTTCAAATGTAATTCTTTTAGATGGTACACCAGTTGATATATCCCAACAATTAATAGTATCATCATATCCTCCAGTGAATAACAAAGAAGCCATAATTTGTTTTATAAAGTTCTTTTTTATTCTTTATAATCTTTTAATTTTTATGATTAATAATAAATCTGAAACAATCTTTTTGTTTAAGAGAAAAGAAGAGAACTTAAAATGATTAATGAAGAAATTCTTGGCTTATTTAGCCCGATATGGAACTCCAATATGTTTAACAATTTCTGGTATTCTTTCAATACTTGTTATTATTCCATTTGGATTTGGATTACCAAGTCATACATTTGATAAAAAAACAAATACAAATTTAGCAGGAAAGAATACAGGAAAATTATCATGTTCTGATTATTTCATAGATAATTCTCATGCTATTTATTATAAATTACCAAATATTGATTATCATTTTCAATGTGGATATTCTGTATTTAATATCATTCTTACATTTTTATTTGAAATTATTAGTGTAGTTGAAATTGTATTATTCTGGGTATTTGTTTTAATTTGGAGAAAAAAAAAATTAATAACATTTATTGTGTATTGTTGTTTACTTATACCAATAATTATGCAATGTTATTTATTAGTTCATCATTGTTCAGAAATTCATGAAGGAAGTAAATCATGTAAAAAAGTAAAAGTAGATGCTCAAGCTCAATGTTCTATTCTTCCATTTGTTTTTACACCAGTTGTTGATAGTTTTAATGTTGTTTTCTTATTTATAGGAACTGGATTAGGAACAGTTTTATATTTCTGTAGACCACGAGTAAATAAAGCACTTGATGTTGAAAATACTAATGGAGAATATAAAAAAGGTCTTGTTGAAGGAAAAAAAGGTAAATCTAAAAAAGTTGAAGAAGAAGAAGATCCAATTAAAGATATTAAGAATGCAGCAACTGGTATTGCTGTAAGTGGAATGATTGATTTCACTAAATTTGCTTCAAAATAATCCAAATTTTCTTAAATGAAAAGGGTTTTTATTTTTGATTTAAAAAAAACTATCAAGAGAAAAACTGTGATTGATTTAAAGTTAAAAGATAAAAGAATGAGTATAGAGTTTAATTCTAAACTAAAATCAATTTTAATAGGAGGTAGTGTTATTATATTTTTCTTTTATTTCATTATATCATTATTTATTAGAGTTTGTATTTTATAATAAATAAAAGAAGAAAAAAGAAATAATAAAGATAATAGCCATTTGCTATTCCAACACTTCGTTTATTCTTACTTCCACCTCAAGTAGGATTATCAATACCAATTATTATTTTTATGTTCTTGGTTTCAATAACATTATTTTTTGCAGGAAATATATATAACAAATTACTTATTGAAAAACTTAAAGAAGAAGAAAAAAAGAAAGATGAATAAACAAATAATAAAAATGTTAGTTGATTTATCTTTTTAAAGTTTTAAATTTGGTTAAGTTTTTTGGAAGTTTAAGGAAAAATAAGAAATAAAAATCAAAAACATAAAATAAAACTGGAAAAAAAATTAAAATTAAAGAATGCCTTCTAAAACAAAAAAAGAAGATTTAATACAATTAATTACACACTTAACAGATCGAGTAACTGCACTTGAAACAAATCTTTCATTAATTTCTTCTCGTCTTATTAGATTAGAAACAAATCAAAAAGATATACAAAAGACAATTGATAATATTAATAAAAAATTGAACAAAGAAGTTGTATCAGTTGTAGAAACACAACCAGTTATAACAAAATATTTTTATGAACCATATCTTGATGAATTAAAGAAATGGACAAAGAAAGAAATATGTCAAGTTATTTATGATTCAATAAATGATGGATTAACAGCACATACTATTAATCATTCAATTGAAATGAAATCAAATATTATGATTTTAGTTAAAACTGATAAAGGGGAAATTTTTGGTAGTTATAATAGTATTCAAATTCCAAAATCAGAAGATAGTGGATATGGATTTTATATAAACAAAGACATAGATTTTTTTATGTTTGTTTTAAAAGGGAATATTAAAATACCAACTAAAATTACTAAAAAAGATAAAGTTTATTCATTAAAAATTTATTCTAATGATAATGATGAATGGGTTATTGGAACTCATTGTGGGTTTTATGTTGGAGCATCACGTAATTCATTTATTTCTAATAAATTAAAAATGTTTTATGATGGTGATATTACTTCTGATTCATTAACAGGTTCACATTTTCCAGCTACATTTGATGTATCACAAGTTATTGCTATTCAATGGAAATAAAATAAATTTAAAATGAGAAGTAATAATAAAAAAAAAAAATACTAATTGAATATAAAACAAAAAAATATAATATTTAATTTATTAATATTTTTTTTAAATTAAAATCTTAAAAATAAAAAAGAAGAATGTTAAAACCAATATCAGAAGAAGAATTTATTAATTTTAGAAATATTTGTATTAAAAATGATAATTTTACTGAATATAGTAAAGAAGGAAATACAATATGTTATCAAGGAATAAATATTAAACCAGGATATTTTTGTACAAAAGCAATAACAACTGATTTATTTGTAAAATATTCAGTTCAACAAATTTTTGATTTTTTAAATGATGAAAATTTTAGAAATCAATGGGATTCGTTATTAATGAGTAGAGAAATTATTAAACAAATTGATGATTGTAATCAAATTATTCATTATTGTACAAGTCTTCCAATGATTTCTAAACGAGATTATGTATATTATAAAAGTATATGGATGAGTGATGATAAAGAAGAATTTATTATTTTAAATAAATCAGTTAATATTCCTGAATGTCCTGAAATAAATGGTTTTGTTAGAGCATTATGTGAAATGAGTGGATATATGGTTAAAAAAAATGAAAAAGGAGAAAATGTTTTTTATTATTATGCTTATAATGCTTTTGGTGGATGGGTTCCAACTTGGGTTGTTAATTCTTTAATTTCTTCTCAAGGTTATTCATTATTAAAAAAATTATCTGAATGTTGTGAAAGATATCCAGAATGGAAAAAAACACATAATCCTGAAGAAAAACCATGGAATTTATTAAAAGATAAAGTTATAATTCCTAAATAATTAATATTCATAATTAAAATATTCTTTTTTTACTTTTTCTAAGTTCATTCTTTTTAAGATAATATTCTTTTTTTAATTCTTCTTTTTCTTTAAGTTTATTGAACAATAAATTATTTATTCGTTCTTTTTCTGAAAAATATATAGGATCAATTTCTTTATCTAATAATTTCTTTTTTTGTTTAAGATGTTTTACTTCACTTTTAGTAATAAGATAATTTCTTTTTGAATCCTTTATTTTAGTTTTATTATTATTTCAAATTAAAATAATAACAAACAATATAAAAAAGTTCAGCAAGTGTTCTTTTATTTTTTTCATTCATTTCTTCTGGTTTAATGAAACATGTTTGACTAAATGGATGTTGTTTATTTAAAGAAGATGATAAAGAAGATGGTTGATTTTGTTTTATAATTGGTTCACTTTTTGTTTGTAAATGTAATGAAGCTTCATTACTTTTAGGTTGTTCTTTATGAGTCATATCTTTTTTGTTATTTTTGTTGATTAATATTCTTTAATATTTGTGTCTATTCATTTGTTTTGATTTAAAAATAAAAGGAAAAGAAAAGAAACAATTAGTTTATATTTTCACATCGAGTAGGTTGAGTGAAATTAGGGGAACAAAGATCATATCTTACCTTAGCTCCTTTGAAAGTATCGAATTCTTTCATAGAAACTTCATCATTTGTTTTACCAACTAATAAAATTAATTGGTCAACATTCTTTAAGAAAGTAGAAGATTCATCACCATTTTTTTTCCAATTAGGAACATCAATTTCATCATCCAGAATTTCTCGTTTCTTTCTAGTATCAATAACTTCTGGAATAAAATGAATACCAACCATATGTATATTAAATTGTTCTGCAATTGGTCTAACAACATCAAGAATTCCACGTTTTGAAGGAGTTTTTACAATAACATTTGTTTGAAGAACATTTCCACCAATCCTAACAAAAGTATTTAAAGCTTTTTCAATGACAACTTTTGCATTATTTTCATATCCAATTATATCTCCTATAATTCCAATTTTAAATTTTGTATTTCCAATTTGTATTTTATTAGCTAATTTTCGTGCAAGATTTTTGTTAAATCCATTAATAAAGTACATAACAACACAAACAATAATAACTCCTATTATTTTTAATAAGTCATTATATGATATGAAATCTTCTATCATAATTTGTTATTTATTAATTAAAGATATTAATTTTTTAAATAAAAAAAAATGAAATAAAATGAAATAAATATAAATGAAATAATAAATTAATGTGATCAATTATATTTTATTGATTTTTAATAGTTGGTAATGTAAAGTTGAGATTATTTAAGATTATTTGATTGATGATTGATGATTTAATAAATTATTTTTGAATATTTTTTGAGATTTTTGATGAATATAAATTTAATCTTAATTGAGATTTTAATTTTTTTGTTATTTCAGGATATCCAATCGGAGGAAGATCATTTTCAATCTGTTTTTTTGATCTTCTTCTTTTAATTCCATCACCACGGAGTTGAGAGGCAGCTTCAAGCATTAAAGATTTAGATGGTTTTGTAGTAACTTTTAAAAACCTAAGAATAGCATCATAACGACCACGACATTGACAATCAACTCTTCCAGGAATTTGAGAAGCAATTTTTGACCATTTTGGTTTTCCACTTCGTTCAACTTTAATTTTAGAAGGTTTACCTTTTTCCATAGCTTCAGGAGTATTAGGTAGGATAATAGAATAGATATAATTTGGATCATATAATTTTTCAATTAAGATTAAATCTTCTTCTTCAGTCCAAGATTTTCTTTTTTTAATTCCAGAAGCAGCAGAATTACTTACAAAATCTCTAATTTGAGCATCAGTTCTATTAGGAATAAAAGTAGATATTTTTTTCCATTGATTAGGATATAACTTTTGACAAATGATAACTTTAACTTTTTCAATTGGACTCCATTTTCCACATGTTTTCCTAACAAGTACTTTATCATATCTATTCATAACTTGTTGACATGTTCTTCCTTCAATTTCAGTTTCAACAGATTTCCAATCTCCTTTACCATATTTTTTTACAGCTTCTAATATTTTTTTATCTTCTTCTTTACTAAATGGTCCATATTTCATATTTTCTTTCATTCTAATTTCTTGAATTTTTTTAAGAAGAAATATATAACTAATATTATTATCTTCTGCAAATTCCATCATTTCATTTTTCAATGCAATAAATAAATTTTTATTATTAATAATTGTAGGATTATTTAATTTTTTAGCAAATAACTTTATTTGAGAAATAATATCAGGAATTATTTCAAGTGATGAATAAAGTTGTGATTTAATAATATAATCATATTGTAATTTACAATCTAAAGGATTATGATTACCTATTTCTTCACAAATAATTTTCCAGAAATTATCTGAAATATGAATATTATTATTATTAATCCTAAATTCATTTTTAAACATTTCATAATAAATAATAATTGAATCACAAATAGCTCTTAAGTATTTTAGGAATTCTTCTTGAGTAAATAATCTTTTATATTGAAGAGCTAAAAAAATATTTCTTCTACCTTCTAATTCTACTTGTGTTTTCTTTTGTTGTAAATAAAGTTCAGTTTTTTCATTATATTGAACAGGATATATTCTATTAAATTTATCAATTATTTTTTGTAATTCTTCTGATGGTTTTGATCTCATTTCTTCTAAAATTGAAGTAAGATTATTATCAATCATTTCAGGATGATTAGTTTCATTTCTTTTTAATGAAATAGTAAGTATTAAATTTGATTGTTTTGGTATTTCATCAATTAATTCTTTTTTTATTTCTTTTGAAAATGAATCTGTAGTTAATTTAATTGGAGGTGGAATGTTTTGATAATTATGAAATTCTTTAGATGTTTCTATTTGTTCTAAATTTTGTTTTGCTTTTTCTGCTTCTTTAAGTATTTTTATTTTTTGAAGTTGAGCTATTCTTTGTTTTTCTTCAAGAATACGTAGTTCAAATTCTTTTATTAATCCATTGCTTTCTCTTTCTTGAATCATTTGATTCCATTTTTGATTTAAAATCATTACTTTAATTTTATTTACAATATTTAATAATACTAATCGATCTTCTTTTTTCCATTGAAAGGAGAATATTTTATTTGGAGTTGAAGGTGCTTTTTCAAAAAATATTGGACTATTTCCATCAATGTCTGTAAAATATTGTTCTCTAATTTTGTATAATTGTCTTGGTGCATTCATAGCTTCAATAACTCTATCAATTCGTGTTTGACATTCTTTTAATGCAGAATTTACACTACAATTACATTCTTCAAGAATAGTATAATATCCATTGAGAATATTAGTAAATGTAATAAAATCAGCATCAAGTTCCATAATAACTCTATTACTTACAAAAAGTAATTTTAGAGATTATGGAATATATTATCTATTTTTATGTTACTCAAAAAATTAAATTTTTGTTTTTCTAACCCTTTTTTTTTTTATTTTTTATTTTTAATAAGAAGTAAAGCCACGTTGTGTTGAAAGAGTAAGAAATGAGAGTAAACGTGGAGACTAAAAAATAAGAAAATACAGAAAAAAGAAAGAAATAAAGGGATTTGTAAAGAAGATAAAAAACAAAAGAAAGAAAAAGAGAAAAAAAAACAAGAAATAGTGAGTCAGAGAAACGTGGAAAATGATATAAGAAAGAAAAAAGAAAAAAGTTCAAACATTAAATTAAGGAATGTCAATTCAAAAGGTTCATGCTAGAGAAATTCTTGATTCACGTGGTAATCCAACTATTGAAGTAGAAATTACTACAGCAAAAGGTATGTTTAGATCATGTGTTCCATCAGGAGCATCTACTGGAGTTCATGAAGCTGTTGAACTTCGTGATGGAGATAAGAAAAGATATGGAGGAAAAGGAGTTCTTAAAGCTGTTGAAAATGTTAATACTATTATTGGACCAGCTCTTATTGGTAAGAACGTTTTGAATCAAGCTGAACTTGATGAAATGATGATTAAACTTGATGGAACTAATAACAAAGGAAAACTTGGAGCTAATGCTATTCTTGGATGTTCAATGTCAATTTGTAGAGCTGCAGCAGCAGAAAAAGGAATTCCATTATATAAATATCTTGCAGAACTTACTGGACATAAAGAAATGACTATGCCAGTTCCATGTTTCAATGTTATTAATGGAGGAGCACATGCAGGAAATGCACTTGCTATGCAAGAATTTATGATTTGTCCAACTGGAGCTACTAATTTCCATGAAGCACTTAGAATGGCAGCAGAAACATATCAATGCCTTAAAGTTGTTATTAAAGCTAAATATGGACAAGATGCTACTAATGTTGGAGATGAAGGAGGATTTGCACCAAATGTATCAGGAGCACGTGAAGCACTTGATCTTCTTGTTGAAGCTATTGCTAAAGCTGGATATACAGGAAAAATTGAAATTGCTATGGATTGTGCAGCATCAGAATTTTATAATGAAGAAACTAAGAAATATGATCTTGGAAAGAAGATTCCAGCTGATAAGAAAGATCCATCTCTTGTTAAAGATGTTGATGGATTAATTGCTGAATATGTTGATTATGGTAAACATTATCCAATTGCATCAATTGAAGATCCATTTGCTGAAGATGATTGGGATGCATGGAATAAATTTACTGTTGAACATGGTAATTTCCAAATTGTTGGTGATGATCTTTTAGTCACAAACCCAGCTCGTGTCCAAATGGCTATGGATAAGAATGCTTGTAATTCTGTTCTTATTAAAGTTAATCAAATTGGTACTCTTACTGAAACATTCAAGACCATTAAAATGGCACAAGAAAAAGGATGGGGAGTTATGGCATCTCATAGATCTGGTGAAACTGAAGATACTTTCATTGCTGATCTTGTTGTTGGACTTAATTGTAAACAAATTAAGACTGGTGCACCATGCAGATCTGAAAGACTTTGCAAATATAACCAACTTATGAGAATTGAAGAAGAACTTGGAAACATTCCATATGCTGGAAAGAATTGGAGAAATTCAACTGCTTAAGATAAATTTAAAATTTATCTTTTCATTTTTTTATTTTAATTTTTTTTATAATTAAATTTTAATTAAAATATTAAAATAAAAATATATTAAATTAAATAAAATTAATTTATTTATTTTTTAATTGATAATAAACACTAATTAATCAATATTTTAAAATGAATAATTTTAAGATGAAATTAATTTAAAATAATATTAAGAAATCAATTAAATTGATAAACTCTTGCTTCATAAGGTCGTAATAAAAATTGATTAATTGATTCATATTCATTAACTTGATAATTAGAAATTATTAAATGGTTATTTTGAATTTGAATATCACTAGGAAGTATAAATTTTATAGGAGTTTCAAAAAAATTAAGAATAATAATCCATTTTATTTGATCCAATGTTTTAATATATGCAAAAATATGTTCATTATCTTTTAAAATCATTTGAACCTCACCATAAGGCATAATAGGATTTTCTTTTCTGAGTTGTAATAATTTTTTATAATAATTAAAAATACTATTAGGATTTTGTATTGCTTCTTTAGCATTAATTGTTTTATAATTTGGATTTATTTTAATCCAAGGATTTCCTGAAGTAAATCCAGCATTTTCAGAATTATCCCATTGCATTGGAGTTCTAGCATTATCTCTTCCAACTTCAGAAACTCTTTTTAAGAATTGATCTAAAGTCATTTCATGTGTTTGAGTTATTTCTTTCCATTTTCCAAAGATTTCACAATCTTTGTAATCATCTAATTTATCAAAATAAACATTTGTCATTCCTAATTCTTCTCCTTGATAAATATATGGTGTTCCTTCTAATGTATGAAGTAAAGTAGCAAGCATTTTAGCACTTTCAATTCTATATTTTGTATCATTTCCCCATCTACTTACTTGTCTTGGTTGATCATGATTATTAAAATATAATGAATTCCATCCACAATTATGAAGTGTAATTTGCCATTTTTCAATATTTTGTTTTAATTCAGTTAATTTCCATGGAACACTAATCCATTTATCACCGTTTTTATATCCTATATTAACATGTTCAAATTGAAATAACATTTCAAGTTCATGACGTTCTTTTCCTACATATTTTTGAGCTTGTTCTGGTGTAACACCAGGTGTTTCACCAACTGTTAAACAATCATAATGACTTAATACTTCTCTATTCATTTCATTTAAAAATTCATGAACTCTTGGTCCATTAGCAAAATAACGAAATCCACTTGCTAATCCATCTAATCCAATAGGTGAGTCATTAGGAAATCCTTTTACTTTAGATATTAAATTAATTACATCCATTCTAAATCCATCAATTCCTTTATCAAACCACCATCTCATCATTTTATAAATACATTGTCTTACTTCAATATTTTCCCAATTTAAATCTGGTTGTTCTTCAAGAAATAAATGAAGATAATACTCTTTACGTTCTTCATCGTATTTCCATGCACTTCCACTAAAAAAACTTCTCCAATTATTTGGATTTTTTGACCATATATACCATTCTTTTTTTTCATTATTTCCTTTTTTTGATTCAATAAACCATTGATGTTGATTACTTGAATGATTAACAACAAGGTCCATAACAACTTTAATTCCTGCTTCATGCATTTTAAAAAGTAATTCTTCAAAATCTTTCATTGTTCCAAATCTTGAATTAATTTCTTGATAATCTTTAATGTCATATCCATTATCTGCATCACTTGTACTATAAATTGGATTTAACCAAACAATACTTATTCCTAATTCTTTAAGATATGGTATTTTTTCTATAATTCCTTTAATATCACCATATCCATCACCAGTTGTATCTTTAAAACTTTTACAATAAATTTGATAAACAACACCTTCTTTCCACCATCTTTTATCAATACTCATTATTCTAAATGATTTATTTAAGATAATTTAAATAAATTTAAATCTTATTAACAAATTAAAAACTTCTTATTATTAAAACAAATATGATTTTACAATAAATAAATTATACATCTATTTCATTTTGTTATAACTTTTCTTTTTCAACACTAAAATCAATTTGAATTGAATTTGACATATCTACTGAAGTTGAATTTATTTCTGGTAATTCACTTGAACTTCTTTTGTTTAAATGATTTGTTAATAAACTGATTTTAGGTCGTTTAATACAATCAAATAATATATTATGAGTAAATGATAAATATGAAAGACAATATAATGTAAAACATAACGCTTGTAAAAGAATAGATAAAATTAATATTAATAAACTATTTGTGATATGAAATATACTTAACCATATCCCTACAATCCCTATAATACAAAATGCTAATGTACTAAATCTTACTGGTCTACAAATTAATATTAGTTGTTTCCACGGTGATGCAATAAAAACTAATGAAATATATAATAATATTTTAGAAACAATATATACAATCCCTAATATTATTGGTTGTTCAACATATAATCCAGTTAATGGAAGTGTTAATAACAATATCGTTAGTCCTATTAAAAATGTTATAATAAATAAAATAAATCGTACCATTGGATGTAATTTTATACAAAATAATAAATACTTGTTTTCTGATATAAACAATTCATTCATTGTATCTCGATGAAATATAATCGTTCCTTCCTGTTTATTATTCTTTTCTTTTATTTCCATTATATTTATTAGTTCATTCTTAAAAAACTATTCTTTTATTTTCTTCTTTTTTATCTTCCTTTCAACTTTCTTTTTCTTTATTATCTTATTTCTCTTCTAGACAACATTCTCTTTATCATTTTCTTTTTCTTTTGTCTTTTAATTATTACTTTATTCTCTTTATTTTTTATTGATTTTTTTTCTTATTTAATTGATGGTGTTGGGATTTGAACGTAGCACGTCAGAGACACCACACAGATCCCTAAAATATTTCCTTCCTTCGATTCCCACCAGTTATGGACTGGTTATGACGTTGCGTTTGGTTAGAAAAACATCTTACCCAGTACTACAAGAATAGCAGTGTTTATTATTTACAATGATGTGATATCATTGATAATAAATGAATGGGTATTTATAAAGATGTTATTACTACTTGTTAGGATACAAGTATTATTTGATAAGATAAGAAAGATTATCAAAGGAAAAGGCTCAAGTGGTTGATTCTAAAAAGAATATTAACCCAAAGCAATACAGTAGTAATTATATACTCTCCTTAAAATAAGAAAATAAAGAAGAAATTTAAACGCATCAAAATTAAAAAGAAATTAAATAATGAATATCTAAGTAAGGGATATTTAAAATACTCTATTCCACATTAAAAATGAGAGAAGAAAGTTCTCACAGTTCAACAACTAAAATCAAAGAATAAGGCAATAGTTGAAGAACAAATACATTTAAAGCTCAGGGACGGGATTAGTAGTCTCCCCTGAGCAAGGAACAATAGAAGATATTTCTATTAATACTTAATTAACTACTTTTTATTTCTTATTTAATTGATGGTGTTTATTGATTATTAATTGAGTCATGAAGAGTTCAAATTTCTTTTATCCTAAATTTTGATAGTTTTTTTTGTGTTTTTATATTAAAGAAAGGAAACAAAAATAACATTAAAATAAACGAATTGTTTTATGATTATTTTTTGTGAGTGAATTTCCAGAAGATTAGTTCAACCAAACACATTTATTTTGCCTACAGAAAGAATAAGACTTTTTCTTTTAGAAAAAGGAAAGAAAACCAGATTTTCTCAAAAAGCTACTGAAAAGTATTTTTAGGTTACAATAAGTTTTACGTTTAAAGAATTTGTAACGCGGAATTTAGAGAAAGGATTACAAATTAGTTTCAAAAGAAAAGTTCATTACAAGTTATCAACAAGAAAAATTTCAAAAAAATAACTCAACAACCTTTCATAATTACACCAACTGATAGTAAATACTCGACAACAAAAGTAATAACACTTCAGTTATTAGAAGGAGTTTCTGCAAAATGAGTTAAAATATTTTGAACAAATTGTACTGCTTTTTGAGACATCATCAGACCTTCCATTGGATCTGAAGAAGTAGATTCATACAAATTAGGAGCAACAACAATTGCTAAATTTTGTAAAGTCATTTTATTTTGGTCTTTGAAAAGAGAGACGTGAACAAGTAATGAGAATAGCCAATCTAATAAATCTCGAGATTGTTGAGACAAAGTACAATATTGTTTCCAACAATCATCAACACCACTCATTTGGATTTGTGTAGATGTAAGTCCATTAAGGAGTAATGTTGGTAATTCCCTAAACCATAACTTAATTAAATTTGCTACTTCGTTAATTGTAAATTCTTCTTGAACTTCAAGATCTCCTTTATGTGTGTTCATATAGCTTTTCATAGTTTTCATTAATCCAGCTTGACCAGCTAACCGAAAAACACCTTCACTATGAAATCCGTCAAGTCGTTGAAAGTTGTTATTTAATATAGCAAGAGGTTTTGGTAATTTATATTTTCCTGTTTCTATCCATTCTAAGTTAGTAGGATCTACACCAAAAACACCATCTTCACCTCTCAAACGAAGAGAAAAGAAAGTTTCAGCCTTATCAGCAATGTGAATAGTGACTGGTAAATTAACATTTACCTTTTGTTTAAAAGTAACAAGTACTTTAACTTCTTTCCTTGAACGAGGAGATAACACACCTTTTGCAGGAGAATAAACTATAGAGTAATCATTGGTTGTATAGTTGTCTATAACATATTTAATTTTAGCGTCTTCATCATTGATAATTGAAAACACTGTATTTGGAGTAGCAATTGTTAAATCCACAGTATCGGTGGATAATTTAACATTATTATAATCTAAGAAAAATTAGTTTAAGAAACATGTGAGATATTAAAGGAATAAACAGAAACAAACTTATGGGTTTTGATTTAGTTCCTCCCATTTTTAAAGAATTGTTTAGTAGATAAAAGTTTATTATTTTTTTGACTTTTCTCTCTTATAAAAATATTTTTCAATTAACAAGAAGATGTGAAATTTTAAATTTTGAAAATAACTCCAAGACTAAAATCATCTTTTGGTTAATAATCAAAACAATTATTTAAATAATCTAATGGTTGATGATAGTTAAAACTTTTTTATTAGATACCATTTACTCTTCAATTATAGAAGAAATATATAAAACTTATTTAATTTAAACTGTGACAATAATTGATATGACAAATGAATAATTTTTTTAATCAAGTTTAAAGGTTTTATTAAATAGTAATGGTGTTGAGGAACTTAAGTATTAAATAATCTTTAAATGAAATAAAAATTTAATAATAACAAATTTCCCTTTTTTTGTTTTTTTTTTTAATTTTTTTTTGAAAACAAAATTGTTTTCTAAAAGAACTAAATAATTACAAAATAGTGTTTAATGGATCCAACTTTTCCAGTAAATCAACCAAAACTCCCTTTTAAACAACGAGTTTCTTTTGAAGAACGTAAGGCATTTGCTATTCAATTAAGACAAAAGAAACCAAATTATGTCCCACTTGTTGTTGAAAGTGATGGAACTTCAAATGCTATTGATTTAAAGAAGGATAGGTTCTTCATTCCTGAAGACTCAAAAGTTAGTGACTTTGTTAAAGTCTTAGTTGATAAATACATTGAAACTGATGGTGAAACTCCAATTTCAACCGTTTCTGTTAAAATTCAAACACCAAGCAAAGCTATTCAACCATCAAATGAAGATACTATTGGATCACTTTATGCTATGTATCAAGAAGAAGATGGGTATCTTTATTTCATTGTTTACAGAGAATCTGTCTTTGGATATTAACTTTTGTGTTTCTTAACTATTGAATTTTTGTTATTAATGACAATAAAATAGTAATTTTAAATTTATTTATCTTCTTTTATAAATATAAATTTTATTTTTTGTTTCATCATGGTAACATCCTATAATAATCATTTAAATAGTAAAAAATATGGTTTAAAATATTGTGTTTGATGATACAGAAAATAGTGATGTATTTAATAATCTTAACAATGGCGTTTTATTATTTTCTTCTTCTTTTTTTTTAACAAAAAAAGACACACTGGTTTTACATCTTGTAATATCAATTAATTCTATTATTTTCAGAGAAGAAGATCAAAGAATTTTATTTTTTAATACAAATAAAATGAGCATTGCTAAGGATATTAATTATTTTAAAACATTGCAAGATGACAATTAGTTGCTATAAGTTAATAATGATTATTTTCAAATAATACTTCTATAAAATTATTTAACTATAAAAGTTATATTAGATATAAAAAGATAATTCTTTATTATGATAGTTTAAATTTAGTAATTTAAATTTCTATTTTTATTTTACGCTTGCATAAACTATTTATTATGATAATATTCACAAAATTATATAGTAGTTTATGAAATTGACAAAATAGTTTGTTGTTTTATTGGACTACAATTTTTTAAATCACAATGCATATTTTATTTGAAATTATAAGACTATATAATTTATTTATTTCTTTTTTACTCTAAGCTTCGTATGGCAATTATAGATTTATTCAATCTTTTTAATGTAAAAAAATATAATAAAGCAAAGAAATATAGTTTTGACTATTCTTAACAAAACAAAAATATTTGGAAATACAGGAATATAGATTAGCTTCTAAAATAAACTGAATATATAAAGAATTATTAATCATTTTGTTAGATTATTTACAATTTTGTTATTTGAATACTTATATAAGAATGGTTTTAGAATATTTATTTACTTTTTAATTTAACTTTAATTTGATGTACACTCTTTTATATAAAATGTTCAAGGGTTAATACTTTTATCATTTCAATGATAATTGAAGAAATAATATATAATTTTTTTGATTATTTGATTCATTAATTTATGGGTTATACAGAAATGAATAGATTGTATCAATTTATAAAGAAGTAACTGTGTTAGAAATATAGTATTTGATGATGGTTGTACAACAATTTATTTAATATTATCATGTTTAAACTAATACAAATTCCTTTCGTTTTGTATTTGAACTTGTTTTGATGTTTTTTACATACTTTAAATGATTCAAAATTTTGATTAAAATTTTTAATGGTTTATTTAAATTAAAAGGATACTATAACTAATATTATTCATAAGAAAATTATAAAAAAATAATGACAAAAATATAAACTGAGTATAGAAGAAATAGAGAGGAAAAAATCCAAAAAAAAATAATGTAATCAAAATTTAAAAAAAGCAATTGATTACTTTATTTTATATTTTTATCATCTCATTTCAATTAAAGTGTAATATATTTATAAATAATCATATAACCACTGATTGTATAAAAGGATAAAAAATAAAGGAAATATTTAGTAATAAAGTGTTACACTTGTAGATATATTAATATTTTTGTGTTCATATAAAAAATAATAATAACATTATTTTTGTAGTAGAAGAGTACAGAGTATGCCTATGAAATTATCTTTGATAGATTTAACTCTTATATAACATAAAGGTTATATTATTTACTCTTAAGTTTTTAAACAGTTTTTCTAAATTTTCAGGGTCTTTTTAACCCAATATTGTTTCCTCAAAATTTGTTGAGGTAAAAACAAGTTACTATCATTCTTTTTCTTATATTTTTTTTATCTTTCAGAAGTAACTTTTTGTGGATTAAGTTTCCTTTATTTTTGATTGATTAGTCTTTCTTTCAACCTCAGAGATAAATGTAATATGAATGGCGTTATTGGATATTTTCTATGTACACCATTTTAAGAAATAAAAAAAAAAGAAATAAAGTAGTAAAGTAACAGATTGATATCAAAATATTTTAAATAATAGGTTTTTATAAAGAGTCAGTTTAATTTGTGTTATTAAGGAACAGAGAAGAACCAAAGAAATTATTACTATAAGGAGATGTCTTTTGAATGAGTTATTTTTGAATCATTAATTTCAAACAAGAGAAAGAAAGAGTTATTAGTAAAATTATTATGAAATAAAATAAGAAAAGAAATGCACCTTAGTTTCAATTTAAACAGAAAAGAAAATCAAAAAATAAAAATGAATTAAAAATTTTATTTGAATGAAAAAATATAAGAAATTTAGTTGTTCATTGAAAGGAATGAACGCCACCACTCAAAAGATTATTGAAGAGTATCATAATATAAATTTAAAAGAATATAATAAAATTCCAAATATACTTTCACCACCACCCAATTGTCTTCAGTCATATGAATTAGGAAGAAATGGGACATTAAAAGTATTAACTGAAGCACTTTCACCATTTAAATTAAATCAAATTAAAACAGTTTTTGAAAATAGAGAAGTGTTTTATTCATTATTTCCTGAAATAACACAAATATCCTTTGAAGGAAATAAAGTAGAATGTAAATCTTCATGGATTATTTGGAATGTTCTACAAGAATATAAATTTATTGAAAATGTTATTTGTTTTCCAAATGAAATATTTCATATAGAATCTAATTATTGGCCAAAATATGTAGAATATTATCTTTTTTGTTGTGAAAAACATCTTAGTGGAACAAGAATTGTAATTGAAATAAAATTTAATACAACAAAAATTAATAAAAATGAATTTGTTTGGTTCTTAAATAATGAAAGATCATTTATTTATAATTTAAATGAAATTATAAAAAATGATCAAGAGAGTCTTCTTTTATTAAATTTAGAAAGAGAGTTTTATACTAGATTAAATCAAATTTCATTATATCAAATTACACTTTATTCAAGTGAGTCAATATTAATGAAAACAAATAATCAATATGATGAAATTATTATTACTGGTAAGTCTCGTTATGCTAATTCTATTAAAATTCTTCTTGAAAGTTTATACTCTCATTTTCTTCAATCTCCTTTATTCCCTAAATGTAAAATTCTTAAACAAACAGAAAGAATTGTTCAAAAACATGCTGAAACTCCTTTTTTTTCTACAACTCCTTATTCTACTGATATTGTTTATTGTTCTGCACTTGGAGAAGGTTCAATGTTTACAGCTGCACAATCAATGAAATGTTCATGTTTATTACCACATACACCTAATTTTGAAGTAATTATTTGTGCAGAATTATTTAATATTGGACAAGATGGTAAAATAGATTCTATTTATTATTATCATTTTAGAACTCCTCAAAAAAATAATTTTGTTCCTTATATTACTTCAAGAACTTCTCTTAATCTTTTTTGTGCTTTTCTTATGACTCGTTTTGGTGTTGAAAATAATATTCCTTCCATTAGTATCTCTGATGTGTCTGACATTTCTTTAATTTCTAAACAAATGCTTGCTCAAGCAATTCACATTAAAGAAAATTCTTTGAAAAAACAACGTAAAGTATTATTTCCAATAAATGAAAAAGAAACAATAACAAACAGTATTCTTACAGAATTATCTAATGAATTATTACATCAAATATTTAGTTATTTACCATTAGAAGATCTCTCTTCTTGTTTATGGACTTGTAGAAAATTAAGGTCTTTTATTCTTTCTGATGATTTAATTTGGCAAAACTTCTATAATTTGTATTTTAGTATTTCTTCTTTTAATCAAAAAGAATTTCATACTCCAAAACCTCGTTATATTGAAACAAAATCAATTGCACAACAAGTTCTTCATTTACAAAATATTAGAACTCGTTGGAAAAATAAAAGACCAGTTATTAGAAAACGTATTGAAGCATTTGTCAAATGTCCTGTTAATTTTATATTCTCAAGAAAAAAAGATAAATCTTTTTCTGTTGCAACTAGTTATGGAAAAATTAAATCTTTTGAATATAATTCATTTAACCTTGTTAAAGACCTTATTATTAATGATCATTTCATTACAGTAGAACTTAATCATGATATAAAATGTTCATTAATGATTTCTGAAAATGGAAAAATATATCAGTATTTTTGTGAAAGAAATAAATTAAATATTATTCCTTTTCAACAACATCATGGTTGTAGATTTACTGATAATTGTCAAAATATTTTGTGTTGGGAAGAAAATGGAAATATTGAATTTATTGATTTTCAATCACAAAAACCTTGGTATTCAAATAAGTTTAATCAATGTCATATTTCATGTATTGATAAAGTTGACACTTATTTCTATATTTCTTGTTATTCTGATTCTCGTATTATTGGTTTTGATTCAAGAATGAAAGAAAAAGCATTCGAAACAAATTCATATAATAATACTATTAATACTTTTGATTGTTTTGATACTTCACTTGTTTGTGCTTGTAATAATGGCGTCATTTCTCTTTATGATTATAGAATGAATAGAGTAACTCAAAATCGTGCAATGCAATTTACCTCAATTAATACACTTAAAGTTTGGAATAGAAGAATAGTTTTCGGAGGAAATGATCGTCAAATTGGTTTACTAGATTGTACTAAAAATTGGTTTGGAAATTATCAAGTCCTTTATACTCACCAAACTCCAATTGTTTCTATTGATTTTGATGATTCAGTATTAATAAGTGGAGCTGCAGGTGGTTTTATAATATATTCTTCTTTTGTCTAATTGTAGCATTAATAAATGATTTGTTCTTCATTTATAAAAAATATCTTTCAGTTATTTAAATTTTGAGTTTATTAAAACTACTTTATTTTTACAAATAGTTTTTTGTCTTTATTAAATTATATAGAAATGTTTAAGTTAATATTTATACATTCTATTAAATTATGTTTAATTATTTTTATTAAATAAGCAAAATAGTTGTAAATTTTAATATATTTCTATAAAAGACCATTCTGGTATTATTCTTCAGAAATATTATTTATTTCTTAATAATAATAGTAATAATCCCCATTTAATCATTTTCTTTACTAC